CTACAGTGAGTCTTTACATTCTCATACTCCATGTCTATATCATTAACCGGAGTGGTCACTGACAAATGATGCTTAGAGCATGAGGTTGGTTCTTAAGTGACCAAGTGACTTCCTAGTTTTCAAATCCAGAAAAACCTGCATTGATCCCTAAAATGTTAGTCAGATGAGCCTAGGTTTTAGGATTTCATTAGGCTTTTGCCTAAATATCTAATTTCTTCCCTTTCTCATGCATTAAGAACATATCTCAGTAAATGTTAGAGTGACTAACTGCTCTTGATCACCAGGGATTTTTTTATCTATATTTATGGCTATGGCAGAAGGAAAGTAGTTTTATTTTCTTGATAGTGTAGGTGAGTGAATAACCACCACAATAAGCTTTCCTTAATATTACAAGACCACCAATCCCACTGATGGAACTCATCGGGAATCTCAACAATGGTCAAAGACCATTTGTCCCCGTTATCACTGAAAACTTCAACAACCTAGTTAGCTCCACACCTGGCCAGATGATCCATAGGCATTGTGACTTTGTCTTTTGTTTCAGCACAAAATTTAGGATGTGTCTAGGTAGTCTTCATTATATTTATTTATATTGTTTTCCTTTTGCCTTGCTGAATTTTGTTTTGTTTTTTAATTTGACTTATGTTATACTTAATTAGATGTGGATAAAAGAAGTATTAAAATATTTACATTACCACAGACAGCTCTCCCATAACTCCATTGACTTGGAGCAGTCAATCCCATTAGTATCTGAAACGTCTAATCCTGTCACAACACATTATTTTTGCCTACTACTGAACTTCACATGAATGAATCATAGATTTTGGATCCTTTTTGATTGTAGATTTTTTGCTTATATTTTTGATATTCAACTGCATGATTGAATATATCTGTAGTTCATTGGTACTTATTGTGGAGTAGTATTTTTTTGTATGAATATAACATAGTTTGTTTATTCCTGGAATTATTAATGAACATTTAGGTTGTTTTTGGTTTCAACTATTATGAAAAATGCTTCTAAAGAACATGTCTTTTTTTTCTATTTTTAGGAATAGAATTGCTGGGTCATATGTTAATTGTACTATTAAATTTGTAATAAAACATCAATCTGCATTTTAAAATCCTTGTAATATTTTACATTCCAACCATCTATGTATGAGAGTGGCAGTTGTTCCTTATTCTTACCAACTTTTGTTACTGCCAGTCTCTTTCATTTTAGTAATTTCAATGTGTGCTTGTATTTCACTGTAGTTTTAATTTGTATCTCCCTGATGACTAATCATACTAGACAGTGTCTCATGTGATTGTGCAACATTCATATGTCTATGTCTCCTTTTTGAATGTTTACATATTTTACATATTTTGATGGGATTGTTTGTTTTTTTATTATATAGTTATAGGAATTCTTAATATAAACTATATGCAAATCTTTTGTCAGATTTTCTCCCAATATGTGGCATGGTTTGTACTTTGTGTCTTATCAATCCCAAGATTGTGAAACTTTCTCATAAGTTTTCTTTTAGTTTACTGATTTTAGCTTTGATGTGTATGCCTATGATACATTTTGAGTAACTTTTGTTGGTTAAGTATTAGGGCATATTTTTTCTCTATATGTATATCTAATATCTCTAGCCCCGTTTGTTGGAAAACTATCATTTTTCCCATTGAATTACTATGCTACCTTTATTGAAAAACAGTTCACATGCTTTGTGTTTTATTGATCCGTACATGTATCCTTACACCAGTACCATCCCTTCTTACCCTGATGCACAAAATTAAGTAAATTGTCTCTTCATATTTTGTACTTTTTTTGAAGATAGATTTGGTGATTTTAGGTCTTTGTATTTCTGTGTAAAATTTGGAATCATTTTTCCATTTCTACCCATATCCCCTAAAAAATAAAAAATAAAAAAAACTTTGCAAAATTTTGATTGGGATTTTTTTTGGGATATATACATGAATTTGTGGGGAATTAATGTATTCATAATGTGATTTTCAAACTATGAACATGGCATATCATTCCATTTAGTTAGATGTCTCTAATTAAATTAAAACCTAAATATTTCATATTTCTGAATGTTATTGTAATTTGTGTACCATTTAAAAAAATCCATTTCCAGTGTCTTTTGCAGGCATATAGAAATAGAATTAAATCATGAAAGTTGATTCCTCTGATAACCAGTTTAACATTACTTTGAATGATCCATATTTTGGAAAATACCTGTGAAATGTCTAAATTAAAATGATCAAATAATCCCAGTGAATATATGAAAAAAAGAATAAAATTTTGGCATTTATTCCAGAAGTAGAGAAACATTTTGGTACTTTTCAACATATATCAAAATTAACAAAGAGACAAAAATTATGATATTAAATATTGAAGAGACATTTGATAAAAGTTTGGACAACTAGAAGTAAAAAATATATCCTTTGATTTCTCTAGTTTCTCAATGGCATACCACAGTTACCTATTTTATTTCTTTTTAAGATTTTATTTCTTTATTTGAGAGGCAGAGAGAGAGAGCTAGAGAGCACAATCAGGGGAGAAGGAGAAGCAGGCTCCCCACAGAGCAGGGAGACTGATGCAGGACTCGATCCCAGGGCTCTGAGATCATGACCTGAGCTGAAGGCAGCCATTTAACCAACTGAGCCACCCAGACTCCCTAACAGTTACCTATTTTTAAGTTTTCACATCCAGTCCCTTAGTGGGATCCATTTCTAAAAAAAAATTTTTTTTGAAGATTTTATTTATTTATTTGACAGAGAGAGATACAGTGAGAGAGGGAACACAAGCACGGGGAGTGGGAGAGGGAGGAAGCAGTCTTCCCCTCAGCAGAGAACCTCATGCGGGGCTCGATCCCAGGAGGCTGGGATCATGACCTGAGCCGAAGGCAAACGTTTAACGACTGAGCCACTCAGGCGCCCCATGGGATCTATTTTGAATCCGCGATTCATTGAACATCAACTTTCCACTTCCAACTTCCAACAAGCCCAGCATTTGGTGTAGCTTTCCATTATACATTGAATATTGTCAGAAAATGCTCTTCACTGTAGGCTCTGTCTTTGATTCTAGCATTTGGAGGCTTTCGCTTTCATGTCATTGATTTTTTTTTGCTCCCAATATTAATATTTAGTGTGTGTTCAATCTTCTGTCTTTACTAAATACTCTTGATAATTTTTATTAAAATCTTTATATTATGCATAATACATTATTTTTAATAATGAAACATGAAAATGGAAAAATACCTGACTCCTATAAATATTAAAACTTATATAATAACATTTTTAAAATTTTATTTATTTACTTGACACAGAGAGATAGCGAGAGAGAGCAGGCACAAACAGGAGGAGTGGTAGGCAGAGGCAGAGGGAGAAGCAGGCTCCCCACTGAGCAGGGAGCCCAATGCAGGGACTCCATCCCAGAACCCTGGGATCGTGACCTGAGCCGAAGGCAGACGCTTAACTGACTGAGCCACCCAGGCACCCAATAATAACATTTTTAAATAAACTTTAGTATATGCAGTTAATGTAATTGAAGACATTGACATTGCATCTAATTTTATATAGCATATTTATATAACAATCCAGGTATTACAAAAGATCAGGAATAAATTATTATTCTATTAAAGCAACTGATAAATTTAACTTCCGTTTTGGGAAAGAGATACATCATTATAGCTTCCTTCACAACACACCACTCAAACCTAACACGAACATTTTACTCACATATTTACTGGGGTCAGATTGGAAGAAAGTTTTATCCATAAACTCAAGAACAAACCACAAAAAAAGATGATAGTTCTCAGAGTTCTCAGATAGTTCTACCATTTCACAATCTCACAATATCTAAAATTTACCCAAACAAACAAACCCAAAATGTACCAAAACAAAAGTCAGTTGTCAATGACAAATTATAAAACATAGTAAACATATATTAGTGGCCAGGGGTTAATATAATTAATATAAAAGTGCTTATGAATAAAGGAAATAAACAGAATGCCTTAACAGAAATATATGCATAGAAATATAAACCAGAATGTGAATTTTTTTTAAATTTATAGCTCATTAGTAATTAAAATAATAAAACTGAAATAGATGTAAGCACTTATTTTCACCTATCACACCTATCACTCTACTAATTTTTAAATATTACTAACAGTCTTGTGAAACATCACTCTTGCACTGAATAGATAAGTATATAGATAGAAGGAAATAAATGTATGTTATAGTCTTTAATATTTTTGTACTCTATGACCTAATAACTTCTAGAATTAATCTTTAATATAAAATCTTGGAGATAAAAATAAATAATAATAATAATAAAATTTTCATTGAGGGCGCCTGGGTGGCTCAGTTGGTTAAGCAACTGCCTTCGGCTCAGGTCATGATCCTGGAGTCCCGGGATCGAGTCCCGCATCGGGCTCCCTGCTCGGCAGGGAGTCTGCTTCTCCCTCTGACCCTCCTCCCTCTCATGCTCTCTGTCTCTCATTCTCTCTGTCTCAAATAAATAAATAAAAATCTTAAAAAAAAAAAGTTAAATCCTTGTTTAAAAAAAAAAATTTCATTGAAACATCCTTTACATAAAATGTTATAATTTAGAAACCTCTATTTTGTTACATTCATAAATTTTTATGGATTCTCAAAATGATATCTTGAGGAGAATTGATGAGATGAAAAAGTACTATGATATAATAAATGGAAAAATACTTTTAAATTTACAGTGCATATATTTATGAACACAAAGAAGATTGACAGAAATTACATTAAATTTTTAACAGTTCAGTTTCTATTATTTATGGAATCATAAATAATTTCATTACTATCTTCTTTTCCTATACTGGAAATATATTAGTTTTAAATGAAATGGTGTTATAAATAAATACAGAAGTAAAAATTATAGTGTGATTGTAATTAACTAAGAGACATACTAGAGTACATTTTGACAATAAATAAAATGATTGAAAATTCCTATTATTGAACTTTATTATATTTACCTTTAGCATTGCAAACATTTGAGAAAATGCTGTAATCCTGCAGATTGTACTCTGACTGAATTTGCAGAGTGTGGCACTGGAGCATGCTGTGATACAGAAACTTGTCTGGTAAGCTTTCAAATTACTACAGTATTTTCTTTCATGAATTTTTCTGTTCTTGTGCATTCATTTCTTTTTTTTTTTACACAACTTTCAAATATATAACTTTAAATATTTGATTCATACACAGTTGACTTCAGAATTCAGAAGATGTTCTTAGATTTTTTTCAACTTCTTTCTTATCTTCGCCTTCACTGTATTTCAGTCTCTACTCAAGATCCATCCAGTTATCCAATACTGATTCTAGATTATTTGGGTACTATGGATTCCTCTTGGTCATACCTGAGGCCATACCTGAATGTAGCTCTTCATGACCCAACAACTTATGACAAAATTACAAATAAGCCACCCAACACAAAGTTGACATTCAATGTTTGAATAAACAAACAATAATAATAATCTCATTTTGAGAACGGCAGAAAAGGAGTCCATGTAGAATAGTCAACAACATGTAGCATGTCTAATACTGAAGTTTAACTCTGTTAAACAGTGTGTCCCAGAAGTAGATTGAATCCTTGACTTCCCTTGGGAAGTTTTCCATTCAATTCTACTTTATAGCCACACTTGAAAAGAGACTGAGTAAGATTTGTCTTTTGGGGATCACGTCATAGCATCTTACCTTTTCTGTGTCACTTTCAGGAGTCAACGACAATTATAGAAGCTGATTAATTAGAGATCTTGATTGCCAGATTTCAGATTTGCCAGGTTCTCTGTCAGTGAAATCTCTTCTAACGTCATTCTACTTTGTTCTATGTGTGTTCTTTTTCACTCTATGTGCTATAACTAAAACCAGTGGTACTTGTCTTCAAGGAGCATAAATATAGAGGCAAGCCTAGAGTTTCTGCCACTTAGCAATAAACCTTGTTGCTCTTCCCTTCACCAGAGCTCTCATCTTGGCCTTTGTCTCCAAATCAGCAGAATTGAGCAATAAGCCTTTTCTACACAGTGCCTTGCCCCTTCCCTTACACATGGATAATTCCTACATTTGGTAGGGCCTTTAAAAACATTAAGGTGAAAATCATGTACCATAACATTTGCAATTTTCAGGTGAACAATTTAGTGGCATTCAGTACATTCACAATGTTGTGCAACTGCCACCTCTATCTAGTTCCAAAACATATTCCTCACTCAAACAGGAGACTCCCAGCCCTTTAAGTCCTTGTTCTCCTTTCTCCCTTCCCCTCGGTCCCTGGCAACCACCAATTTGTGTTCTGTCTGGAGTAACCTATTCTGGATATTTCATATAAGTAGAAGCATAGAATATGTGACCTTTTGTGTCTGGCTTTCTTCACTTAACATAGCATTGAATGTTCATCCACCTTGTAGCATATGTATCAGTGTTCCTTTATATGGCTGAAAATATTCCATTGTATGAATATACCACGATTTTGTTAATCTAGTCATCCATTGATGGACATCTGGGTTTTTTCCAATCTGTTTCACTGGAGCTTTTGAGTAAATTCATAATTTGACTTTAGTTAAAAATGTAGTAATAATGGAAATGACAGAAATACATTGCTCTTGTTTAAATTATTTTATATTTTTGGTTTACTACTTTACAAAAATAATTGTTTTTCTTTGTCCCACAGATGTCTGTAAAAGGAACTGTATGTCGGGAAAGCAAAGATCCATGTGATTTTCCAGAATTTTGCAATGGAAGAAGTGAATTTTGTGTACCTGATGTGAAATCTGCTGATTTAGAACCATGCAATAATAAGACTGCCTATTGCTATAATGGGATATGCCAAGATACAGATAAACAGTGTGCAGACTTATTTGGAAAATGTAATAGTTGCAGTTTTTCTGGGGTTCATTTTCATTATTTTGTCTTATATTTTTCCCAGTAAAGTTAACATACAGAGTTATATTAGTTTCAGGTGTAAAATACAGTGATTTAACAATTTTATGCATTACTCAGTGCTCAGCATGATAAGTGTACTCTAATCCCCATCACCTATTTCACCTCTGGTAACCATCAATTTGTTCTCTATAGTTAAGAATCTGTTTCTTGGTTTGCATCTTTCTCTCTTTTTTTCTTCCCTCTGTTAGTTTGTTTTGTTTCTCAAATTCCACATGTGAGTGAAATCATGTGATCTTTGTCTTTCTAAGATTGACTTATTTTGCTTAGCATTGTTGCTCAATTCCTGTATCACTTCTAGCAATTTTTTGCTGGAGTCTTTTGGGTTCTCCACACAGAATATCATGTCATCTGCAAAGAGTGAAAGTTTGACTTCTTTGCCAATTCAGATGCCTTTTATTTATTTTTGTTATCTGCTGGCTGAGGTTAGGACTTCTAGTACTATGTTGAACAACAGTGGTGACAGTGGACATCCTTGCCATGTTCCTGACCCTAGGGGAAATGCTGTCAGTTTTTTTTCCCATTGAGAATGATATTTGTTGAGGGTTTTTTGTATATAGCTTTTATGATATTGAGGTATGTTACTTCTATCCCTATACTGTGAAGAGTTTTAATCAAGAAAGGATGCTGTATTTTGTCAAATGCTTTTTCTCCATCTACTGAGAGGATCATATGGTTCTTGTGCTTTCTTTCCTTAATGTAGTGTTTGATTGATTTACGGATGTTGAACCACCCTTGCATCCCAGGAATAAATCCCCCTCGGTCATGGTGAATAATGCTTTTAATGACTGTTGGATCTTGTTGAGAATTTTTGCATCCATGTTCATCAGGGATATTGGTCTGTAATTTTCTTTTTTCATTGGGTCTTTGCCTGGTTTTGGGATCAAAGTAATGCTGGCCTCACAGAAAGAGTTTGGAAGTTTTCCTTCCATTTCTATTTTTTGAAACAGCTGATAATAGGTATGATTCTTTAAATGTTTGGTAGAATTCCCTTGGGAAGCCATCTGGCCCTGGGCTCTTGTTTGTTGGGAGATTTTTGATTAGTGCTTTAATTTCCTTGCTGGTTATGGGTCTGTTCAGGTTTTCTATTTCTTCCTGTTTCAGTTTTGGTAGTTTATAAAACATCTCTAAGAATGCATCCATTTCTTCAAAATTGTCTAATTTGTTGGCATATAGTTGCTCATAATATGTTCTTATAATTGTTTGTATTTCTTTGGTGTTGGTTGTGATCTCTCCTCTTTTCATTCATGATTTTATTTATTTGTGTCTTTTCTCTTTTCTTTTGGATAAATCTGGCCAGGGGTTTATCAATCTTGTTAATTCATTCAAAGAACCAGCTTCTAGTTTCTTGATCTGTTCTACTCTTCTTTTGGTTTCTATTTCATTGATTTCTGCTCTGATCTTTATTATTTCTCTTCTCCTGCTGGGTTTAGGCTTTATTTGCTATTCTTTCTCCAGCTCCTTTAGGTGTAGGTTAGGTTGTGTATCTGAGACCTTTCTTGTTTCTTGAGAAAGGCTTATATTGCTATATACTTCCCTCTTAGGACTGACTTCACTGCATCCCAATGGTTTTGAACATTTGTGTTTTCATTTTCATTTGTTTCCATGATTATTTCTTAAATTCTTCTTAAATTCTTCTTAAATTTCCTGGTTGACCCATTCATTCTTTAGTAGGATGCTTTTTAGCCTCCATGTATTTGAGTTCTTTCTGACTTCCTCTTGTGATTGAGTTCAAGTTTGAAAGCACTGTGGTCTGAAAACATGCAGGGAATGATCCCAATCTTTTGGTATCAGTTGAGACCTGATTTGTGACCCAGTATGTGATCTATTTTGGAGAATGTTCCATGTGCACTCGAGAAGAATGTATATTCTATTGCTTTAGGATCTGAATATGTCTGTGAAGTCCATCTGGTCCAGTGTGCCATTCAAAGTCTTTATTTCCTTATTGATCTTCTGTTTAAATGATATGTCCATTGCTATGAGTGGGGTGTTAATGTCCCCTATTATTATTGTATTATTATCAATGTGTTTTTATTTGGTTTGTATAATTGGCTGTTCCTATGTTATGGGCATGAATATTTATGATTATTAGATCCTCTTGTTGGATAGACCCTTTTATTATGATATAGTGTCCTTCCTCATCTTTTATTACAGTCTTCGGTTTAAAATCTACTTTGTCCTATATAAGGATTGCTACCCCAGCTTTCTTTTGATGTCCATTAGCATGATACATTGTTCTCCACCCCCTCACTCTCAATCTGGAGGTGTCTTTGGGTCTAAAATAAGTCTCTTGCAGATGGCATATTGATGGGTCTTCCTTTTTTATCCAATCTGATATACTGTGTCTTTTGTTTGGGGACATTTAGCCCATTTATGTTCAGAGTAATTATTGAAAGATATGAATTTAGGCCATTGTATTACCTGTAAAATGACTGTTTCTGTGTATTGTGTCTGTTCCTTTCTGGTCTTTGTTTGTTACTTTCAGGTTCTGTCTCTGCTTAAAGGATTCCCTTTAATATTTCTTGTAGGGCTGGTTTAGTGATCACAAATTCTTTTAGTTTCTATTTGTCCTAGAAGCTTTTAACCTCTGCTTCTTCTCTAAATGACAGCCATGTTGGATAAAGTATTCTTGGCTGCATATTTTTCTCATTTAGCACCCTGAATATATCATGCAGTCCTTTCTGGCCTGCCAGGTCTCTATGGACAGGTCTTCTGCCAGTCTAATGTTTCTACCCTTGTAGGTTACAGACCTCTTGTTTCAAGCTGCTTTCAGGATTTTCTCTGTCTCTGAAATTTGCAAGTTTCACTGTTATATATGAAGATGTTGACCTATTTTTATTGATTTTGAGGGAGGTTCTCTGTGAGCCCTGGACTTGAATGCCTGTTTCCTTCCTCAAATTAGGGAAGTTCTGCACTATAATTTGCTCCAATATACCTTCACTTTCCTCTTCTTCTGGGATCCCAATTCTAATATTCACTTTATGTTATGACTTATATCTCAAATTCTCCACTTGTGATCCAGTAGTTGTTTATCTCTTTTTCTCAGCTTCTTTATTCTCCACCATTTTGTCTTCTTTATTATTAATTCTCTCTTCTGCCTCATTTATCCTAGCAGTTAGAGCCTCCATTTTTTATTGCATCTCATTTTAGCCTTTTTTATTTCAACTTGATTAGATTTAGTTCTTTTATTTCTCCAGAAAGGGATTCTCTAGTGTCTTCTATGCTTTTTTCAAGCCCAGCTAACATCTTTACTATAATTGTTATTCTGAACTCTTGTTCCAAAATCTTAATTATACCCACACTGATTAGGTCCCTGTCAGTCAGTACTGCCTCTTGTTCTCTTTTTTGATGTGAATTTTTCCTTCTTGTCATTCTGCCCAGAGAAGAATAGATGAATGGGAGAACAAAATACTAAAATGGCAACAACGACTCCAGAGAAATGTACACTAAACAAACCAGAAGAGACCTGAAACTGAAAAATAAAATTAAAAGAATATAATCAGACAGGTGAACAGAACAGAACAATACACTGGATCCTGTGTTATTTTGGTCTGTTTGTTAGAACACTAGATCCCAAAATTGTAAATAAAGAAAAACTTATATCAGTACAAAGATAAAATTATATACAATGAAAGGATAGAATGTAACTGTAAAAATGAACATTAAAAGACAAAAAAAAAAAGAGAGAGAGAGAGAAGGAAAACAGACAGGTGAACAGAACAAAACAATACACTATATCCTGAGTGTATTTTGGTCTGTTTTTTAGAAGAAACTACATCTCAAAATGGTAAAGAAAGAAAAACTTATATATGCACACAAATAAAATTAAATACAATGAAAGGATAGAATGTAATTGTGTAATTGTAAAAGTGAAAATTAAAAATAGCCTTAAAAAAGAGTTGATAAAATAAGAAATTGGTTGAAAAAGGAAAGAGAAAAAAATTAAAATTGAAAGATTAAAGAATCATGGGGAAAAAGCCATGAATTCTAGACACAATTTCTCTTTGGCACTGGAGTTTTATAGTTATTTGTGATCAGTAAACTTGGTCTTAGCTAGATGTTCTTCCTGATCTTCTGGGGGAAGGGGCCTGTTGCTCTGATTCTCACATGTCTTTGCCCCTGGTGGAACTGCACCACCCTTCCCAGGGGGCTAGGCTAAATAAGTGACTCCGGGTTGCTCTAGGTGGCTTTTGTTCCCTGAAGCCTTTCAGTGCCACTATAGAGGATGAGAATGAAAATGGCAGCCTCCCAATCTCCAGTTCCAGAGCTGAAAGCTTACTCCCCCCAGTACTCAGTACCCCCTCAGGGAAAAGCAATCAATCACTCCTGTCTCCTTGGTCTTTGTCTATCCTCCATGCTCACTCAGACACATGATCCTACTTCAAGTCTCCAAACCCTACAGTCTCCTGCAGCAGACACCTGTGCCGCTCCTGGGGGGGGTGGTGGTGGTGGGGGGGAGGTGTTTGCCTTGGTCTGCCACTTGCTGGGCCCCTGCTCAGAGAGCAGCAGCCTGATTGTACTGTGGTTTGGGGGGTTATGGCAACCCTGAGCTGAGTGTCCACTCCTGGACTCGTTGATTGCAGCTGGCTTTTCTGCTCAGATGCCTGGGAACTCTGCCACACTCGGGAACGACTGTTCTTTCTTGACCCCAGGGATCCTGAGACCATGCTGTCCCACCTAGGATGCCCTGCTTTGCCACCTTAATGCCTTTCAGACAGGGATGTTCCCCACTGGAGAAGATTTCTAAAAGTTCTGATTTTGTGCTCGACGGCTATATCACTTTCTGGTAGCTGGCTGATGGGGGCTCCCTTCCCCTACGGTTTATCTTCCCATATATTGCCTTGGATTCACTTCTCCACAGATCCTACCTTGCAGAAAGTGGTGGCTTCTCTATTTGCAGAGTTGCAGCTATTCTTTTTTCAATCTCCAGTTGAGTTTACAGGTGTTCAGAATGATTTGATAGCTATCTAGCTGAATTCCTGGGACCAGACGAAACTAAGGTCTCCTACACCTCCACCATCTTGGACCTCTTCTCTACCAATTTGGATACTATTTTTTTCTTTTTGTTGTCTGATTGCTGTGGATAGGATTTCTTTGTACTTTAAATCTACTTTTTTGAGGGTTTTTATTATGAATGGATGTTATACTTTGTCAAGTGCTTTTTCTGCATCTATTGAAATGATCATATGGTTCTTACACTGTCTCTTATTGATGTGATATTGATTTGTGAATATTGAACGACCTTGCATCCCAGGAATAAATTCCATGTGTTTGTGGTGAATGACTTTTTAATATATTGTTGAATTTGGACTGCTAGTATTTTGTTGATGATTTTTGCCTCTATGTTCATAAGATATATTGTCTTGTAATTCTCTTTTCTTTCCTTTTTTTTTTGGTGTCCTGATCTGGCTTTGATATCAGGTGATTATGGTCTCATAGAATGGATTAGGAAATTTTCCTTCTTTCTATTTTTTGGAATAGTTTGAGAAGAATAGGTATTAACTCTTCTTTACATGTTTTGTAGCATTCTCCTGTGAAGTCACCTGGTCCTGGACTCTTGTTTGTTGGGAACTTTTTTTTGATTACTGATTCAATTTCATTTTGTTAGTAATAGATCTTTTCAAATTTTTTTGTTTCTTCCTGCCTCAGTTTTGGTAGGTTATATGTTTCTAAGAATTTATTCATTCTTTCTAGGTTGTCTAATTTGTTGGCATGTAATTTTTCATAATATTCTCTTATAATTCTTTGTGTATCTGTAATGTTGTTTGTTATTTCTCCTCTTTCATTTCTGATTTTTTGGGGGGTCCTCTCTCTCTCTTTCTTTCTTTCTTTTTTTTTTTTTTTAGTCTGGCTAGAGATTTATCAATTTTGTTGATATTTTCAAAGAACCAGCTCTTGATTTTATTGATCTGTTTTACTGTTCCTTTAGTTTCTATATAACTTATTTCTGCTCTAATCTTTATTATTTCCTTCCTTATGCTGGTTTTGGGTTTTGTATGTTGTTCTTTTTGTAGCTCCTTTAGGTACAAGGTTAGGCTGTTTATTTGAGATTTTTCTTGCTTCTTGAGGTAGGCCTGCATTGCTATAAACTTCCCTCTTAGAACTGCTTTTTTTTTTCTGCATCCCAGAGGTTTTGGTCTACTGTGTTTTCATTTTTATTTGTTTCCATGTTCTTTTTGATGTCATTTTTTAATTTCTTGGTTGACCCATTTATTGTTTAGTAGTATGTTATTTAACTTCCATGTATTTATGCTTTCTCCAGATTTTTTTTCTTGTGGTTGATTTCTAGTTTCATAGCACTGCAGTCAAAAGAGATTCATAGTATGACTTCGATCTGCTTGAATTTGTTGAGGCTTGTTTTGTGGGCTACTAGGTGATCTATTCTGGAAAATGTCCCATGTGCCCTTGAAAAGAATGTGTACTCTGCTCTTTTAGGGTGGAACGTTCTGAATATATCTGTTAAATCCAGTGTGTCATTCAAAGCCACTATTTCCTTGTTGTATTTCTGTTTGGATGATCTGTCCATTGACGTAAGTGGGGTGTTAAATTCCCCTATTGTTATTGTATTACTATCAATTATTTTCAGTTACTATTTCTTCAAAAAATTTCTGCTCCCTTTTCTCTCTCTTCTTCTAGGATCCCCATAATGCAAATATTTTATGCTTGATGCAGTCACTAAGTTCCCTAAGACTATGCTCAATTTGCATAATTATTTTTATTCTCATTTGCTCAGCTTGATTACTTTCCAGTACTCTGCCTTCCAGGTTATTAATTCTTTCCTCTGCTTCATCTAGCCTGTTATTTTTTCTATTTTTAATTTCATTTATTGTGTTCTCCATCTCTGGTTCTTTTTTATCTTTTTCTTAAAGAGTCTCACTGATGTCCTCCACTCTTTTCTCAAGTCCAGTGAGTGTCTTTATGATTACTACTTTAAATTCTCTATCAGTCATATTACTTATATCTGTTTTGGTGAGGTCTCTTACTGTGGTTTGGTCTTGTTCTTTCATTTGGGGTACATTCCTCTGTCTCCTCATTTTTTCTCCTTGTTAGGAAAGTCAGCCATTTCTCTTGCTATTGAAAGTAATGGCATTATGAAGACATGCTCCTTTAGTACCCTGCAGTACAGTGTTCCTGTTCCCCAGGACCTGAGGCTTCAGTGAGTGTCTCCTATGTGTGTTGCCTGAACCTTGTCTCTTTTTCCTTCAATAAAGTTGTCTGCAGAGGCTCTCTTTGCCTGTTGTGCACAGTGTTTTGTCCATGGCTGGGTGCAGCACATTTTAACAAAGTGTGTGCTGGTCTTCTTGTGAAATGAGACCTGCTGCCACCATCACTGCAGGAACTGAGGTCCCATAAAACTCGTTGGTCTGTTGACTGGGTGTTGGTGGGTTTTTCACTGGTCTTCTGAGGGTGGGTGGGGGCCATGGCACTGGGATTGAGGCAAGCATGACTAGGGAGGGCCAGTCCACTGAAGCACAGAGGGTGGGGCTTGGTGTAAGAAAGTTAGGTATCAACTTTCTTTGCACCATGCTGTTTCCTGCAGGTGGCCCTGTGTTTATACTGGGGGTTTGGGGAGGAAAATGGAACCTGACAGCTTCTTTGTTCCTGGAGACATTTCTCCATGATCCTTGCTTCTCTGAATGATGCTCTGGGATGAGTAAATCCCTCTCCCTCTTGTCTGCCCCTGGTATTTTTCAAACTGCTGCTTCCATGCTATATCTCTGCTGGCTGTTTGTCCTGCTGTCTAAGAGTGGGGACTCAGCTTCCTAATGCCCTCTGGGTTCAACCAGAGCCTAGCTGCTGATTTTTAAAATTCCAGGCTTTAAGTCCCACTGGTTCTAAGAATTCATAAAATTTGGCTCCTCTTGCTTTTAAAGCCAAATATTATGGGGATTTTTCTTTCCTGTGTGGGCTTCTCAGGGTTCATTTTTAAACTACATTTTCCTAAAGTTAGTAATCTACCCTGTGGTCATGATAAAAGGTATTGCTTGTGTAAATCCAAATTTGAAAATAAAATTGCAAATCAAAACAACTTTGAACTACATCAAGAGGTAGATCTAATAATTATAAGACAAAAAGAATAAGATATTAGTCAAAGTTCAGGTAATTGGTGGGAAAGGAGTAGAATATTAGAATTGCAGGTAAGAGAGTAAATGATTGTTTGATTTCTTAATAATTTCTGCACTATGATAGCAATTTTACTATTCTCAAGTGGATAGTTTTTAGTGTTTCTTCTTCTTGTATAGCCAGTAGATGACACCAAAAATTTTATTGTAGCTGACACTGACTGGGCATTGCTGTCGTCTAGATGTCTCTATATTAATTTACCATACTTTCAGTTTTTAATATTTTTAAAGATGAGTAATTGGAACTTTATTTATATTTTCAGTTGCAAAAGGTTCTACTCTCTTGTGTACACAAGAAGTGAATATGCATGATGATGATTTTGGAAACTGCAGAAGAAATTTTTGTAATTTTAGGTGTGTATTTAGAAAATTATACCTTTTTCAGTTGTGTTTGTGTGTTTGTACTACAAAGAGTTGTTTAATACAAATGAGAAATGAATGCATTATATACAGATAAATATTTATGTTGCATTTCCTAAGATTGTTTTGTTTTGAATAGCTTTGGTGCTATGATCTGTAATGTATTCAATTATCCTCATATTTTGAACTGTTATTTCCCTTATATTTTTCTCCTTAAGTGACATTTAGATAATTTTTTCTGCCTTATTACCAGGGATATCCTTTGTGGAAAGATAGTTTGTCACTGGACCCATTTAGAAATAATACCATTTAAAAAATTTGATATTCAGTATACTTACATGGAAGGCCATCTGTGTGTCTCTGCATATTTAAGAATACCAACAGCACATGTAACAGAAGATTATACCTATACATCAAATGGCACTATGTGTGGTCCAAATATGGTAAATAACATTTTGACTTGATTATATATGTGGTGTGTGGGTGTCTGTGTGTGTGTATGTGCACATGCACACATATGGGAAACAGAGAAGACCTTAACATTTGTTTTTATAATTAATATTACAAATTTTGGTTACTACATCAAGATCTTAGGATTTAAAGTTCAGAATTTCTGTTGGTCAAATGAACACTTGCTTCACTATCATTTTGTTTATTATGAATTTTGCTATAGATATTTAAACCATTGTTTTCTCATACTTGAGAATATTAGCCTCTTCATTAGGCTAGGATCTGGTCTGCAGAAATTTATAGAAACAACAAAAAAGAATCAAGTGATATAGCAAAAAAGTAGGTGAAAACAATCTGAATAATAAGAATAACAAAGAAAACAAAAATAGCCAAGTATTTGGTCCTGCAATAACTGACAAGGAAGAATTAATTTGGTTGTAATGAAAGTAAAACAGCTATTTGCTCATTAGTCAACTCCTCTAATTTTTCTTCCAAAAGCATAATAAATACTTGTTAAAAATTTGGCCCTCCCACAAGACACAATAATAAAATGGAGTTTAAGCTTTATTTCTTTTTCTTTTCCTTAAATAGCTTAAGAAACAAAATAAAGGATCTTTAAACTATGACCATTGAAAAATTAGTTGACCAATGTAAAACACTACTCAAGTATCTCCTGTTTAAATTTAGATAATTTACATTGAGATACAATATTTTAAGAAATGAAAAATAGAGGAAAATGGAAATGAATAGTAAATTTATTTCAAAATGGGAAAAAGTATTCTTGCATAAAAATAATGAAATAATCACAAAAGAAGACATAGTGCTACCTTATAAAGTGATATGTTACCCCTTTAAGGATTATTTCAGACAAACTGAAAAAATGTTTACTATAAATGTGAAAGATTAAACATGTAAATTTATCAGCTAATTTTATCATTCATTAATTAGAAAAAAAAGCCCTCAGGGCACCTGGGTGGCTCAGTTGGTTAAGTGACTGCCTTCAGCTCAGGTCATGATCCCAGGGTCCTGGGATCAAGCCCCATATCAGGCTCCCTGCTCAGTAGGGAACCTGCTTCTCCTGCTCCCTCACCCTCTACCCCTCCCCTGCTCATGCTCTCTCTCTCTCTCTCTCTCTCTCTCAATCTTGTGCTCTCTATCTCAAATAAATAAATAAAACCTTTAAAAAAAAAAAAAAGAAAAAAAGCACCCAAATGGTATATATGTGGTATAACACAAAAAAACAATTCGATTTTTATCCCTGATTTCTGGCACAGAGCTCCTAAACCCCTTGAAATTTCCTGAGTAAGAGGAATGGTTTTTTGTTGTTGTTGTTATTCATAAAGAACCTCTTCCAATCAAACTACATTTATGTTAATGAAGTGACATGATAAGGCCTCTAGATAACTTTATAATGGAGCTGATCCCTAGTAAGACCAAGTGATTTAAGAGTTGTAACTGTCAGCCTCATCATAAGCTTCAGGAAGGGAAGTAGTGTGGCTAGAGATTGAACACTATAAAACTTTTGAACAATGAGATTTAGTGTGCTTCTAGGTTGGTGAAATAAATACAGACTACATGCATATCCAGTTACTGTTTTTGTCTAATCAAATAGGAGTTGAAAATAATAACTGATGATGAGAAGCATAACTTATTATCATCCTAAAACAAATATAAATTAACACATACTTTCTGGAAAGTGATTTAGAAATGTGTATGGAGTCAAATATATTGTTACACATTTTTATTGATTTTTAAAAAATTATTTGTTACTACTTTTAATTGACATATAATTGAAATATAGCATTACCTTAGTTTCAGGTGTACAACATAGTGATTCAATATTTGCATATATTGTGAAATAATGACTGCAAGAAATCTAGTTAACATCCATTACTATACATAGTTACAAAATTTTTTTATTATTTCGAGAACGTTCAAGTTTTAATGTCTCAGCAAGTTTCAAATACGCAATAGTGTCATTAACTGTAGTCACCATATTATACTGTAATTCCCATTACTTATTTATTTTATAACTGAAACTTTGCAGTTTTTGACCCCATTCACCCATTTTATCCACTCCCCCAGTCCCCCACCATTGGCACTTACCAATCTGTTCTCTGCATCTATGAGCTTGGATTTTGTTGTTGTTTAAATTAGACATACAATTAAGATCACACAGTATTTGTCTTTCTCTGCCTGACTTATTTCAATCAACTAGTGTTGTCAAGGTCCATTCATGTCACAAATGGCAAGATTTAATTCTTTTTTATGGATAAGTAATATTCCATTTTGTATATTTGCTGAATTCACTTTACCCATTCATTCATCAGTGGACACTTGGGTTGCTTACATATATTGGCTACTGTAAATAATGCTGCAATGAATATGAAGGTGCATATATATTTTCCAGTTACGTGTTTTCATTTATTTTGGATAAATACCCAGAAGTAGAATTGCTGTATCATGTGATGTTTCTATTTTTAATTTTTGTAAGAACCTCCATACTCTTCTACCTATTCTATCATACTATTTTCTGATTTACATTTCTACCAATAGTGCACAAGGGTTCCCTTTTCTCTACATCTTCACAAACATTTGTTATTGCTTTTTGTCATGATAAAGGCTATTCTAAGATCCTAGAATAGAAGAAAGAATTTAAGGATGGAAAAGTATTTCAGGGAATAGTGCTTGGAATGTTTCCAAATTTGGCAAAAGGCATAAATACACAGATGCAAAAAGCAAAGAACATCATATAGGATGAACCCAGTGAAATCCACAGCAGAATACAGCATAATGAAATTTGTGAAAATTAAAGACAAAGAAAAAGAATCTTAGTAGTGAGAGTGAAATAACATGTACAAGAAAAATACAGTTATAATGATAACAATTAAAATAAAACATACATATGCCACAGAAGATTGCCATGCTGGTTTGTCCCACTTCTGTGTATGACCACTAAAACCTTTACAGATCACTCATCTCTCCAGCAGTGAATTTCTGCCTCAGAAATTGTGATCATTAACCTATGCCCAACTGGCCAATGTCCTCATGGAGGGAAAACAAAGAAAGGAGTGAAGGAGGAAGGAAACTGAAGGGAGGGGAAGGGAAGGAAAATGGAAGGAAGGAAGGAAGGAAGGAAGGAAGGAAGGAAGGAAGGAAGGAAGGAAGGAAGGAAGGAAGGAGGGAAGGAAAGAAAGAAAGAAGGAAAGAAGGAAAGAAGAAGGAAGGAAGGAAGGAAGGCAAGCCAACTTTTCCTACTTGGTTCTGTAGGAGCTTTCAGCTGGCCTGACTGTTTACTCCCACAACATTTTTAATTAAAAACAAACAAACAAACAAACAAACAAACAAACAAACTGGAGCAGAATTTAGTGATTCATCAGTTATATATAACACCCAGTGCTCTACTCCAGAAATCAATATCACACTGTATGTTAACTACCTAAAATTAAAAACAAACAGAAAACCCCCAACAAATTTGCAGCCTTCTCCATTTAACAGGGGTTTGTCACATGACAGTCTTCATTAGGGAACTGGCTTTTAGGCCATGGTACTTCCAGTAGTTTAATTGGATAGCGACTCTTCTGGAGGACAGACCACTTGAAAAGCCCAAATTCTATAGTCATCCTTAATTCAATTGTTTTAGGGAACAAAATACCTTTAGAAATTTTCTCCATTGGGATAAAAGTGTTGTGTTGACTGCATTTTGTAATTGAGAGAAAGGAGAGGTGAGTAGTGAATATGAGAGCTAACTACTTCTGTAGTTTTGTGGGCACTTCCATGGATAATTCCACATTTTAGCCCCCCTGCCCAACCTGCCCTTTTGGTTCTTCTTCCTCTGCTTTTCCTTACTACTCTGAGGCTGAAGATCCTCCAGAGCATTGTGAGGCTGATGCACCAGTCTCTCTCCTTTACCATTGAATTTGATATACTTGCTTCCTCACTTCATTTTATCCATCAGTGACCTTCATTTTATTTTGAAATCCCAGGAAGTTCTTAAATCGCTCATCTTCTAATTGCCTTGTTCTGATTTTCCTTTATTCACATTAATTAGGAAAAGGGGAGCAATTGTGAGTGCCATGCCTGTGAATTTGAATTGGAATTATTCTGTGGTTATTTAAAAAATTCATCAGATATACTTTATTTTCATTGTTATTCTACATTGTTCAGTTGATTTCAGAGTGGTTGGAAAGGAAAGATGTCTTTACTTTATTCTCATTAGCTGTGGGTCCTTTGTAAAAATTATCTTGATAAGAAGAGAAAGAGAGAGAGAGGGGAGACTTTATATCTTATTTATTAACATGAATAAAAATATGTCTCATTAATCATAACAAAATTTTAAATAAAACACATGTACTTAATACTGTAATATACTGAGCCAAAAGTATACTGTATAGCGATAAGCATTATTCCAACAAGGCAAGTTTGCTTAGTATTGGATGTGATAGAAAGCTTTTATGATTTTTTTTTATTTTTAAGACTTAGAACAGGAGAATAGTTTATCAGATTGGTTTCTAGCTCACTTAGATAAGGTAGGGAAGATAAACACATCTCAGCACATTCATTTCAAACTTGAAAAAAGGGACATTTAACTGTCCAAAATTAGATAAGCTAATCAATGAGTAAATAAATAAAATTAACTGCCTTTTTCTTACTCATACTTGGGACTATAAAAAAATATGCTTACATGATCCAGGCATTTCTCTTTAGGAAATATGTATTTACTTATATTGTTTCTTTTTTTTTTTTTTTTTTTTTGAACCATGATGTGCTGCTTCTGGGACACTATTTTTGTCTGTTGTTCAAAGAAGAAAGTCTTGTAGATTAGTTTATATTCAAAACATCATCCCAACCATTGCCCAGGGCTAAGTACTTTTATGGTGTTCCTTACTTTTCCTGTCATTACAAAAGAGCCAGCTACAAATTGATCTGTTTACTTGAAAGAAACTGTATCAGAAACATGGGTCTTAACTTTTCCTGAATTATTTTTCCCCTAAAGACAACCCAGTGAAATATGACTAGTTTATTATTGCCTCAATGACAATGTTTAAGGAGAACTAGAATGAAGATGGTTTTGTGGACAGGTAATGCTGATTTGTCCAACATTTTGTTATTCTTGCTGGCTTCATCAGAGCACTTGTAGTTAATGAACAAGCTGATATTCTTTCCTTTATGATGATTGGTTAATGGTGATAGAAAATAATGATTTTTAGGACTATTCATCATATAGTGAATATTCTATCAGATAACTTGAGAAAAGCCAACAGATAATTTTTACAGACTCCCCTGAAGATATTCAAATTAAATTAAATTTAACATAGAGCTTACATAGAAATCAAGTCAAATAAATAATAATTAAATGATATCTTGTATGTAGTGAGGATTTACTATGTGCCAGGCACTGCTTTTATTCCTTTATGTCTAACAAATGATTTCATCCTCATAACCTACACTTTTTTAAAATTTGGGTATAATTGCTATTCCAAATTCAAAGATGGGTAAAAGGAGGTATGGGGAGATTAAATAACATGCTTTAGTGTAAATATGAAAGGTAAGAGATATTGCCATTAAAGCTGGAAAAATATAAAAATATTAAAAAATGACAAGAACACTCTTATTTAGCATTGATCAATATGTGGTTCTGTGACAAAAGGAGTTCTTGCACTGAATTTTGGGTCTTGATAACTTGTGCATGAATTTAAAAGAGTAGATTTATTATCATCAAATATAAAATGAGGAAAAAATATTTCCTTTCAGTATCTATGAGTATGTATTATAAAGATACATAGAAAGTGCAAAGATAGACCCAAGCTCATTATAAATGGTCAGTACAACTTGGCTATTTTTGTTCTTATACCAATTAGTATCAATATATCAATAAAATCACAGCTCCGGGTGCCTGGGTGGCTCAGTTGGTTAAGCGACTGCCTTCGGCTCAGGTCATGATCCCAGAGTTCCGGGATTGAGTCCCACATCGGGCTCTCTGCTCGGCGGGGAGTCTGCTTCTCCCTCTAACCCTATCCCCTCTTGTGCTCTCTCTCTCTCTCTCTCAAATAAATAAAATATTTAAAAAAATAAATAAATAAATCACAGCTCCCTCATAGGAAAGAAATAGTATCTCATTTCAAAATTTTATATTTGGTAAAGTAATAACATGCCATTTGGACCCCCGACTCCCAAGTTCTTCTTTTAGAATGAGTAGATGCCATGAAATCCAGATTCATATTATATATATTTTATATGAAATATAAATATAAAATATATTGTGCATTTAATTTTTGTACCAAGTACAAATGCTCAACTCTTGGCTTTACATTTACAGTTTTTGTTGTTTGTTGTTTTAACATTTTAGTATTGTGACCAGGGACGTTGTTCTTCTAGGAATTCATACGCACAGAGAACAAATTGTGACTCAAACATAAATTGCAGTGGACATGGGGTATGTAATGGTTATTTCATTTCTAAGTATAGCTCTTTTCATTCATGTCAGTAACATTGTCCAAGATAATGAGGTTTAGAATTATTTGATACAGAAATTTCTTTGAAAATTTGCAGTTAAAATAAGGAAAGTAGATTCCATTATTTATATATATATATATGATTTATGTGTTCAGTCACATTGTTATAAGCCTCATGAGCTTTGAACTTTGTACAAAAATGCAATATGAAATAAATTCATTTCTCAATTGAATTTATTAAGGATTACTCATACACATTTAACATACATGTAAATATTGCTTGTGGTTAAGTGTATGTGTACTGATAAATATTTGAAAACACAATATATTTATATTACACATATTATAATCTAATATTTTTGTGAGAGCAGACTTTCTTGTTTATTCAGATCTCATTCATCCTTTAGTGGTTTCAATTTATTTCCCTGTATGTCTCCTCCATACTATATTTTTAAAAATCATTCATTGATGGACTTTTGGATAATGTTAACTTTTACTTAACTATTGTTAAGTAGTGGGACAATGGACATTATGGTACAATCACCTTTGCACATTTGTCTGACTTCTTAAATTGTTATGAAATGTGTGAGTGACTACATTTATGTACCATTTAAATTTTTATATATATTATATTGTGTTTAAGGAATATTATACCAGCTTTTGCTCCCACCTATCAGGTATAAAAATATGCATTTCCTCAAATTCTGGCCAGACTAGCATCTCAGTTTTTTTAAATCACTTTTAACATGCTAAATCCATTGCTAATTTATATTTACTTAATAATACAGTTTTTAAGCACAATATATGTATGGTCATATTTGCCATTTGCATTTTTATTTGTCCATCCATTGTGAAATTATCTACTAGGGAATAGAAATTATGTAAACTCTGTTTTTCTGAACATACATGTAGGCTTTAACTTTGTGGCTGGTGTCTCTTGCCATATCAATGCTTCATATTTTATATAATCATCTAAGAATAAAGTGACCTACCTGCATGTCTGTATCAAAATTTTCTCCCCAATCACTTACATACTCTATTAACCTTTCTTTTCTATTTATTTCCTTTCTTATTTAAATTTAATTTAATTTCTTATTTAATTTTTGCATGAACCTACTTCTAGATCCTCTAGTCTGCTTCTGATCCTTCTTTCAATTCATCCACCAGATCACAACTGGAGATATTTTCCAGCCTTCCTATTTCTAGGAAAATACATTTTGGTATCTATATCTCATTAAGCAAATTTCTCCTTTTGTTTTTTTTTCCCATTTTTTTGTAAAAGTTTGTTTTTATAACAGCTATTTTTTAACTTAACCTTATTCAAAATAAACTTCAACTCCTACTATTTTATATTTTTTATTGAAATATATTTTTTATTGAAATATTTTTTATTGAAATAACAATGTTACATTAGTTTCAGGTGTAAAATAGTGATTCAACAACCCTGTACATTATGCTATGCTCACCACAAATGTATCTACCATCTGCTATTATAATATCATTGGCTATATTCCCTATGCTGTACTTATCATTCCCATGACTTACTCATTCCATAACTGAAGGCTCCATCTCCCACTCCCCTTCACCCATTTTGCCCCTTCCCACCACTACTTTGCTTTCTGGTAACCACCAGTTTGTTCTCTGTATTTATAGGTCTAATTCTGCTTTTTTGTTTGCATATTCATGTTATTTTCTAGATTCCATATATGATTGATATCATATGGTATTTGTCTTTCTCAGTCTGACTTGCTTCACTTAACACTATACCTTCTAGGTCCATCCATGTTGTCAAAAATGGCAAGATCTCTCTCTCTCTCTCTCTTTATGGCTAAGTAACATTCCATTTTATATATATACCACATCTTTATCCATTCATCTACTGATAGCCACCTAGGTTGCTTCCATATCTTTGCTAGTGTAAATAGAGCTGCAAGAAACATTGGAGTGCAATATACCTTTTCTAATTAGTGTTTTTGTTTTCACTGGGTAAAGAGTAGTTTTAGAATTACTGGATTGTATATATTTCTATTTTTATTTTTTGAAGGAAACTCCATAATGCTTTTGACAGTGACTGTACCAATTTACATTCCCACCAGAAGTGCACAGTGGTTCCCTTTTCCCCACATCCTCACCAATACTTGTTTTTCTTGTTTTGATACTAGCCATTCTGACTGGTGTGAGGTGATACCTCATTGAGGTTTTGATTTACATTTTCCTGGTGATTAGTATAATTTTTTGGTTCACAATTTTATGCCTTTCTTGAATAAAGCATTTCCGTTGTGTCAAGAAGGTCATATACTGTTATTTAAAAAATATGTGAGACAAAAGAAAATCTCTATGACATTTGAAAGGCATAATTGCAATAAATTGCATGGGAATTTATTGTATTACATTTTATTTAAAAAAATATTTTCCACATTAAGTAAAAACCATCTATAATATATAAATTACAACACTTCAATAATTTACATTAACTAACAGTCAGAGTAATGCATTTAATTTTTATGTTGAACATATAATGTTATTTTTTATTTGGTTTTGATTTCAGGTTTGCAATGATATGCTTAATTGTCACTGTGATGTCGGATATTCTCCTCCACTTTGTAGACCATCACGAACATCACCAGGAGGAAGTATCAATGATGGGTTTTGGAGTAAGGGAAGTTAGTATCTAGATGAGCGTGCTTCAAGGAGCTTTCTGCCCTTACAGAAATGGTCTACATCTCCACTGAATATGTGGCTATAGAGCACCTGACATACAGATAGTGCAACTAGGAAACTAAGATTTCCATTTTATTTTACTTTATTTAAATTTAAGTAGCCACTTGTGGCTTGGTGGCAACTATATTAAACAGTACAGCTCTATAGCATACTGCCAGTCAAAATTTTGTATATGCTTTTAATTTCACTCAAGAAGTGAACATTTTAATAGATCTCTCTTAGTTTTAACCCTGGTTACCAAAAACATTTATATATATATATATATATATATATATATCAGAATTTTCTAGATAGGTATAGTTAAATTATACAATAGGTGATAGTTTTATTATACACTCTGCATATTCCCAGAATGTTAACTATCATGATGTGCTAGTTTGCAACCAAGTTGCATCTTTTAAGTTTCCCTTTTCAAAAGGGAAAAGTAATCAGATCTTCCATATCCATTGTGTATGGATAGTAAATGGTACAAACCATTTTAAAATTTTATTTGGTGAACATTCATAAACAAATATAGCATAGTTGTTTTTTTCTAAACTTCACAATGTATATATCTTAACAGTATAATTTCAATAATGTTTTTACATCATTTGCATTTTTACTTTATATTTTATTTATATATGTTGTAAATCTGACAGTACATTATTATATTTGCCTTAAATAGACAATGGAATTTTAAAGTTTTTTTTAATATAAATATTTACATTTACTCATCCATTTGTGGCATTTTCTTTTTTTTTTTTTTTAAGATTTTTTTTATTATTTTATTTATTTATTTGACAGAGAGAGACACAGCGAGAGAGGGAACACAAGCAGGGGGAGCGGGAGAGGGAGAAGCAGGCTCCCCGCCGAGCAGGGAGCCCGATGCGGGACTCGATCCAGGGACTCCAGGATCATGACCTGAGCCGAAGGCAGTCGCTTAACCGACTGAGCCACCCAGGCGCCCCATTTGTGGCATTTTCAAGGACTTTTCAATTCTTCCAGCACATTCAAATTCCATGCAGGCATTTTCTTTCCCTCTGAAAAACTTCCTTTTGTACTTTTTTCTGTTTTACCTTATGATGAGCAATTGTCTCAGCTTTTGTTTTTAAACTGTTTTTTATAAAAATGTCTTAATTTGTGAAGAGTATTTTCACTGGAATTAGAATTCTACATTGAGAATTTTTTCTTTCAGCAGTTCAAAGATGTAATCCAATTGTATCCAAGCTTACATTTTCTGATGAGAATACAGTGTCATTCTTATTATTCTATTCATCCCAATAATATAATGCTTCCTTTATTCTCTGTCTGAGTTTCAGACTTCTTTTATATGTTTTTTATTTTATATGTTTATATTTTATATGTTTATATGATTTTACACAGTTTCACTACAATTTATCAAGACATGTTTCTCTTTGAATTTATCCTGCTTGGGTTGGCTATGATTCTTGAATATATAGCTTACTGTGTTTTGGGAAATTTTGAAAAACCTCTTAGCTGTTGTCTCTTTTTAAATATTTTTTATTAAACATATTTGCATTTAAAAAATGATATACAGTGACATTCACTCTGTGGTATATATTTCAATGAGTATTGAAACAATGCACATACTCTTGTTCCCACTGCCACAGTCATGATACACAATAGATCTATCACCTCAAAATGTCCCTCTTGCCGCCCCTTTGTATTCATTCCTGACTGCCAATTCCTGGCAACAAATTACCAGTTCTTGTCTATATAGATTTGTCTTTTCCAGAATGTCATATACAGTACATACAAATTTGAGATACATTTCTGTTGCCATGTTTTAATAGGTGCTTTTTTTTTTTTTTTTTTTTTTTTAAGCTCCAGGCCCAACCTGGGGCTTGAACTGAGAACCCTGAGGTCAAGTCATGTGCTCTACCAACTGAGCCAGCTAGGTGCTGCTAATAGTTCATTCTTTCATTGTTAAGTAGGCTTTTTAAAAAAATTTTTTATTTAAATTTTAGTTAGTTAACATACAGTACAATATTGGTTTCGGGAGCAGAATTCAGTAATTTGGGGCACCTGGGTGGCACAATCAGTTAAGTGCCTGACTCTTGGTTTCTGCTGAGTTCGTGATCTCAAGGTTGTGAGATCGAGTCCTGTGTCCAGGCTCTGTGCTCAGCTCAAAGTCTGCTTAAGCCTCTTTCTCCCTCTGTCCCTCTTCCCCACACCCTCTCTTTCTCAAATAAATAAATAAATCTTTAAAAAAATCTAATAATTAATCACTTAAATACAACACCCAGTGCTCATTACAAGTGCCCTCTTTAACACCCATCACCCATCTAGCCCATCCCCCACCCATCTCCCTCCATCAACACTCTGTTTTCTATATTAAGAGTCTCTTATGGTTTGTTTCCCTCTCTCCTTTTTTTCAGGCCTTCCCATATGTGCATCTGTTTTGTTTCTTAAATTCCACATATGAGTGAAATCATATGGTATTTGTCTTCTTCTGGTTGACTTATTTCACTTAGCATAATACATTCTAGCTCCTTCCACATTGTTGTAAATGGGAAGATTTCATTCTTTTTATTTTATTTTTATTTTATTTTATTTTATTAATCACCATACATTACATCATTTGATTTTGATGTAGTGTTCCATGATTCATTGTTTGCGTATAATACCCAGTGCACCACTCAGTACGTACCCTCTTTAATACTCATCACCAGGCTGACCCATCCCCCCACGTCCATCCCCTCTAGAACCCTCAGATTGTTTCTCAGAGTCCATAGTCTCTCATGGTTCATCTCCCGCTCTGATTTCTCCTCCTTCATTTTTCCTTTCCTCCTATCTTCTTCTTCTTCTCTCTCTTTTTTTTTTTTTTCTAACATACAATGTATTATTTGTTTCAGAGGTACAGGTCTGTGACTCAACAGTCTTACACAATCCACAGTGCTCACCATAGCACATACCCTCCCAATGTCTATCACCCAGCCGCCCCATGCCTCCCACCCCCATGACTCCAGGAACCCTCACTTTGTTTCCTGAGATTAAGAATTCCTCATATCAGTGAGATCATATGACACATGTCTTTCTCTGATTGACTTATTTTGCTCACCATAATACCCTCCAGTTCCATCAACATCGCTGCAAATGGCAGAATTTCATTCCTTTTGATGGCTGCATAATATTCCATTGTATATATATACCACCCCTCCTTTATCCATTCGTCTGTTGATGGACATCTTGGTTCTTTCCATAGTTTGGCTATTGTGGACATTGCTGCTATAAACATCGGGTTGCACATACCCCTTTGGATCCCTACATTTGTATCATTGGGGTAAATACCCAGTAGTGCAATTGCTGGGTATAGGGTAGCTCTATTTTCAACTTTTTGAGGAACCTCCATACTGTTTTCCAGACTGGCTGCACCCACTTGCATTCCCACCAACAGTGTAGGAGGGTTCCCCTTTCTCTGCATCCCCACCAACATCTGTCGTTTCCTGACTTGTTAATTTTAGCCCTTCTGACTGGTGTGAGGTGGTATCTCATTGAGGTTTTGATTTGGATTTCCCTGATGCAGAGCAATGTTGAGCACTTTTTCATGTGTCTGTTGGCCATTCAGATGTCTTCTTTGGAAAAATGTCTGTTCATGTCTTCTTCCCATTTCCTGATTGGATCATTTGTTCTTTGGGTGTTGAGTTTCATAAGTTCTTTATAGATTTTGGATACTAGCCCTTTATCTGATATGTCATTTGCAAAATATCTTCTCCCATTCTGTTGGTTGTCTTTTGGTTTTGTTGACTGTTCTTTTGCTGTGCAAAAGCTTCTTATCTTGATGAAGTCCCAATAGTTCATTTTTGCCCTTGCTTCTCTTGCCTTTGGCGATGTTTCTAGGAAGAAGTTGCTGTGGCTGAGGTCGAAGAGGTTGCTGCCTGTGATCTCCTTTAGGACGTTGATGGACTCCTGTCTCACATTGAGGTCTTTCAACCATTTTGAGTCTATTTTTAGGTGTGGTGTAAGGAAATGGTCCAGTTTCATTTTTCTGCATGTGGCTGTCCAATTTTTCCACACCATTTGTTGAAGAGACTGTCTTTTTTCTATTGGACATTCTTTCCTGCTTTGTCGAAGATGAGTTGACCATAGAGTTGAGGGTCCATTTCTGGGCTCTCTATTCTGTTCCATTGATCTATGTGTCTGTTTTTGTGCCAGTACCATACTGCCTTGATGATGACAGCTTTGTAATAGAGTGTGAGGTCCGGAATTGCAATGCCACCAGCTTTGCTTTTCTTTTTCAACATTCCTCTGGCTATTCGGGGTCTTTTCTGGTTCCATGCAAATTTTAGGATTATTTGTTCCATTTCTTTGAAAAAAAGTGGATGGTATTTTGATAGGGATTGCATTGAATGTGTAGATTGCTCTAGGTAGCATTGACATCTTCACAATATTTGTTCTTCCAATCCATGAGCATGGAACGTTTTTCCATTTCTTTGTGTCTTCCTCAATTTCTTTCATGAATATTTATAGTTTTCTGAGTACAGATCCTTTGCCTCTTTGGTTAGATTTATTCCTAGGTATCTTATGGTTTGGGTTGCAATTGTAAATAGGATCAACTCCTTAATTTCTCTTTCTTCAGTCTTGTTGGTGTATAGGAATGCCACTGATTTCTGTGAATTGATTTTCTATTCTGCCACTTTAGTGAATTCCTGTATGAGTTCTAGCAGTTTTGGGGTGGAGTCTTTTGGGTTTCCACATAAAGTATCATATCATCTGCAAAGAGTGAAAGTTTGACTTCTTCTTTGCTGATTTGGATGCCTTTTATTTCTTTTTCTTGTCTGACTGCTGTGTCTAAGACTTCTAATACTATGTTGAATAGCAGTGGTGATAGTGGACATCCCTATGGTGCTCCTGACCTTAGGGAGAAAGCTCTCAGTTTTTCCCCATTGAGAATGATATTCGCTGTGGGTTTTTCATAGATGGTTTTTATGATATTGAGGTATGTAC